GGATAGGGGGCGGCTGACCGGACTCACGGACCGGGTGTCAACGGGAGGTGTCAGGTCTACTCGCATCTTTCACCCGCCTCTACTTTGTTCATGTTCCTAATTCTGTCTTTGCCCTGCGGTGCAGGGCGCTGTGCACAGCCTGGCTGCCCGCTCCCTTTCCAGGGTTGTATCATGTTGGATTTTTTTCTGTAAAACAGCCCATTGGAGTGCTTCGGTTTGCAGAAAAAATTTCTTTTTCCCATAAGCTCTGGGTATCACTACTGGTGTCTGGGCACGATTAATGAAATAGGCTGCTTGCTCGCAGGTGGCTAAGGTACAATTGGAGGGTTTTTGGCTGCTGATCAGGCGTTTGTTGGTGAAGTGCATCCTTACACCTGATAGTGCCATGCTTGGAGAACACTGCTTGGAGCAGGAGCCCTTTCCTGTGCAGCTGTGGCAGGGATGATGGTTAACAGTCGTGTTATTGCTGTAAAGTTTGCAGAACCCCTGAAAGGGAGGCAGTGACTCTAATGCATGGCCAGGGATGGTTTCTGCGCCCCAAGTTCAGTTTCTAGGTCCCTATTTTCAAATAGGGAGCAAATCCTATATGTGACTCTGAGCCATTTGATTGAGGGCTGGTTAAAGTAGCACTGAGTTCTCTGTCTCGGCGCCTGACCAAACACACCAAGTTTGTGCGTGACATGATCAGGGAAGTCTGTGGCTTTGCACCCTACGAAAGACGCGCTATGGAATTGCTGAAAGTGTCCAAAGACAAACGCGCGCTGAAGTTCATAAAGAAACGGGTAGGTAAATCTGACATTTCAATGAAGGTGCTAAAAGTTCTTATAGCTAACATTCTGTTTGCTGCTCCTCCTTAAGGAAACTTCACTTTTGGATTAATTTTCTTGCTTTTCAGTGGTTTGGACAATCATTCATCTGAGGGAGTGGCAGGAAAGCTCAGGAGCTCTGGGCTTAAGTGTATTTTGCTGGCAAGGCCTTAAGCTATGGTGACCTGCTCTTGTATTGTTTTATTTGGGGCAGGGAATAACAGATTGGTCCTGCTAGAGCTGGGATATCATTAACCAACTGGCTTCAAACCTGTGTTTCACCAGGTCAGGAGCCCTGATGGTTGAGGTGTCTTTACCTGCTCCCTCTCCCCCTTTCACTCTTTCAAAAAGTAACAACTAAACAAACACATGGAGTAGGAGGAATGCTGAGATGGATAGCAAATCATTTCTGACTGTTTAGGGCTGGCTGTGCTCAAGTCCATGCAAGTCAGAACGTTGCTGTCCTGCCCGTCCTGGAGTAGAGCAACTTTCCCTGAATGCCTGAAGCACGGCAGGGGTTTCGCCTGTTCTGCACGGGCCTGAGCGCTGACTGTGCTGCTCTTCCCTGCAGGTCGGCACCCACATTCGGGCCAAGCGGAAGCGCGAAGAACTCAGCAACGTCCTGGCAGCCATGAGGAAAGCTGCTGCAAAGAAGGATTGAGCTGTACGGTCTGTAACTCAATAAAATCCTGTCTCACAACAGCAGTGTAGCAGCTGCTACCGGAACGTTTATTGCGGGCTGTAGGAAGTGGGGTCCTCCTGGGGGTGTTGGTTTGGGCCGAGAGGAGTTACAGGTGCCCTCCCACCTCTGGGACGGGGAGAGGGCAGAGGGAGCAGCACTGCCCCTTTCCTCTGGGTGCTGCTTGCCCCGAGGGCTGCCCGAGTGAGAAGGTCAGGGCTGCTTTGTTAGACCTGCCCTTTAGGGGAGTGGGCAGCAGGATGAGCCCTGGCTGGTTGCACATAGAGGGGAAGACGTTGCTAATGTTCCACACAAGTGCTCTCCCCCTTTTGAATGAGTCCTGTTTAAACCCAGTGTCTATAGTGCTGGCTATAAGTATTTAAGCACTCGCGTTCACTAGACCACGACTATGTTTATTGATGCACAACAGCAACACAGTTGATTCCTGACCTCTTGTTTCACTCAGTACAAAATACAACTGTTGTAGCAATAGCGCATCTATCTGCTGCTTGGGAGCCTTTTTTCCTTCTGTCCAGCTTTGTGCTTTCTTGCCCCTTAGGGTTGTTCCTGATGATGGTGATGTGGGCTGTAGTTTAGAGGAGGAGAACCGCGTCCCTCTGCAGCCGATGGTGAGGGCTCTGCTGTCCTGTCCCTCTGCTCGAGTTTAGCTTTCAGCCTAGCACTGGGCAGTGCTGGGTGCCCAGAACACTGCAGTGAAGCCCAGCCCAGCTCCATTACTAGTTAGTGTTTCCATAAGCAGGTACTGGCATTTACAGTGAAATAACATTCTGTAAGGATAAGCCTTCAAACCACCTCTGCTTTGCGTAGTTTGTAACATGCAAATGCCTTAGGTAAAGTTTCAGTATTTCACTTTATTGGAAATAATTCACTTGTGTCATAATTCAGTAGTAAACAGTGAGAAATATTTTACTCTATGAAAGCCATAATCCATTTTGGGGGCTGCGCAGCAGCAATAGCTTTAAGTCACAGTTCAGGATTCTCCCTCTGTTATGGGACAGACTGCTCCCAGTCCTGAGGTTGACGGCGGTCACCCTCCAGCAGAAGCCAGCTTTGGAAATGCTATATCAAACACTTCTTTGTAGTGTTCCACAAAATGCACTTCTAGTCCTTCTGTGATGAATCCAGCAAGGTCATAATAATCCTTTTTATTTTCAGATGGCAAAATGATACAGGTCACACCTGCTCTCTTTGCCTAGGAGAAGCAGAATGTTAATCAGGCCCTGTGTTTAGTCCTAGAAATTCATTAGTCTACCACAAACAGACTCTTTCCTTTTAGGAAACGCACTCCCCCGTCTCCCCTTCGCAGCTGCAGGAACAGCTGAAGGTGTAGGTATTTTAGGGGCCTTTGTCAGCACACCAAGAGATGGTTTAGACTAATTCACACTATTTTACGTCATTTTCGAAGTCTCCTTCAACATGAGTGAGGATAAGCCCAAGAATCCCAGTTTATCAGACTCTTCATGGCACAGCATCCCTTCCATGATCCAGGCAAGATGCCCACGTTTGTTACAGGTGGCAGACTTCTCCGTTGGGTCTAATTACTGCCGCTAGAGCTGTCATTCTGGTTGTCCTTGTCACCCGTGAGATTAAGCCCCAGCTCTCCTCCCCCTCTGACACCACAGAAAAGGAAGGGCTCTTACCGCAATCGTTTTCTCCTTTATTCCACCAACAGGAAGAATTTTTCCAGTTAATGACACCTCTCCGGTCATGGCCAAATTCTGTCTCACCGGGCAATTCATGGCCAGCGATAGTAAAGCTGTTACTATCGTACACCCTGCACTTGGTCCATCCTTCGGGGTTGCTCCCTGTTAAAATAATAAATTACAAAAATCCCCCCCAACAACACTCCTGAGTGAGTTATTCAAAGGAGGGGCTGTGATGAAGTAAAAACCCCTCACGACTCCAGGCCCAAACCCATGACAGTCTGGCTTTATCTGAGAACAAATAGATCTTTAAGGCAAAAGCTGAAGAAATCAATGTTGAGAGGGAGCAGGGTTATAGATCACCCCTCTGCCTTATGCTCCTGCAAGAGGTCAGAAAAGTACTAAGTGCTTGGAATCAGGCAAAGGACACGGTACGGGGCAAAAAGCAGACTGCACTAGGTTAAAGAATAAAAGTTCAGCAGCAGAGTTCAGTGAAGCCAGAGTTCAGCACCTAACGTAGCCAAGCACACCCAGAGCCAGGGCTCCTCGGAGCCTGGCATCACTTTACCTCTGGCACATGCAAGTGGATATGGGAAGACAGGAGAAAGTCATTGCTGGGTTCCTTCTGCATCAGAAAGGCTCTTGCAAACGTGTAAGCTATTTTGGCACTCTCTTTCATCACATCTCCCAGTTGCCCTGTTACTTCGAGGGACCCATCCTTATTCTCCTTGTTTTTGGGTTGCCTTAGGGATGTTTCAACAAACAGCGTGGAACCTCCTGAGAAAGGAAATAAAAGTGACAACCTGAGAAATGTTCGAGGAAAATCGAAGCAGAGGGTTCCGGTGATGGAGGGGCAGTGTCAGTACTTGGAATTCAGGGCCCTCCAACAAGACACTGGCCCTTGGGTGAAAAGCAGTGGTGTTGGAGGGGCAGTGTCAGTACTTGGGCCCTCCAATAAGACACTGGCCCTTGGGTGAAAAGCAGTTGAAAGCTGCAGAAACATTAGCTAGAAATCTGCAAACATTGTACTTATGGCTCTAAGCACTGGGACTAACTACTGACTTGTCTAAGTGAGCAGAATCTTTGAAAATTGTTAGTGCTGACAGCACCTCTCCACGAGCTCATACAGTCTGCGTGCCAGGCTCAAGTATCTGCCTGCCTTCTCCTCTACGCTGCTCATTTTCCTCTTCACCACTTCCAATATTTTAATTCCACCCAAAGTCAATTAGATTGACCGTAAGTCAGTAGAGCCCTTCCTGCTTTTTGGAAGCAGACAAGATTTCTCCTGGCTAAAAAGGTTTATGCTTTTAGTCATTACAGGCTAACAGAGGTACTTCATCATGCTGGGTATGGAGCATAATGAGATGCTTGCCTGGAGGCAAAGTGAGCCTGGGCTGAGGGATGGAAAGAGGGTCCCTTCTTCAGGAAAATCAGTGTCACAAAGGCCACAGAAGTTACTTTTACTAATACTCACGTAAGAACTCCAGTGGGCTTAGTAGGAAAAATTCAGTTTCTGCACTACCAGGCTACATCTGGAAGTGTAGACACACACACTGCTTTACCAGCTGGTACTTTCCGGAACCAGCAGCTTCACTTTCATATAGCAGAAGGGAAAAAAAATCTCCTGGAAGCAGAATAGGGACCCAAAAGTCAGTGTCTTACCCATAGCTGTCCAGGCCAGACCCATCACCACACCTGGAGGAGTGGTTTCATACATTCTATCCACAGTGAAGATGGGCTTTCCTACAAAGTCCTGCAGGTTTTCGGGTGTTACTTGGACCGTTTCTGCTTCTCCACTCACAATTTTATAGGCAGATTTCCTCAATACCTAAGTGAACAGTAATTAGTTTCTGCAGAAGTTGTTGAGAAGGCTGAAGCACAGAGGTTGTTACTCCCTTACCTTTTCTACTTGTTTCTGCAGATTCCTCACCCCGCTCTCTCTGCAGTACTGCTTGATGAGAACAGTCAGGACATCTGAGGTGATTTTGGCTTTGTTTTCATCCAAGCCACACAGAACTCGTGCTTGAGGGACCAAGTACCTCTGAAAGAAATTGTCCACCACATCTTTCCGTTAGTATTTGTAACAAAAACCCAACTGTTCCACAATTTGTTGTCTTACTGGAGTGTTCCAAGTCAGAGGAGCTTAGTCCAGAATACCACACGCCTAGTATTTGTTGGCAGGATTGGGTGTAAATACATGAATCTGAAGCCGCTAAGAACATTTTATCCCGACATAGCTCACAGAGTGTCTGTGAAATAGTTTCTCTTACCTCTGCAATTGCAAGTTTCTCTTCTGCTACATATCCTGATACATTGATCATTTCCATTCTGTCTCGCAGCGGCTCTGGAATGGTTTCTGTTACATTGGCAGTGCAAATAAAGAGCACCTGGAAGTACAACAAGAGCCTTTTGGGCATTTTCATTAACTTGCTATCTTATCTCATTCAATATTGCCTCAGTTCTGGGTTTCTCTCTCTGAGGGGGTAGAGGAAACTCCTCTCTGGATCTGCAATTAATGGAAGCTGCACAGAAAGCACAAAAGTGGATAGGGACATCCCAGCTAAAAAGCTTTCAGCAGCATGAACCCACCATGCCAGCTCTGACCATTCTGTACTGATACACACTGAGATATTATAGCTCCATAACCTCTGCAGAAGAGGGAAATACCTTTGATAAATCCACAGGAACATCAAGGTAGTGATCCAAGAAGTTGGAGTTCTGTTCTGGGTCCAACAGCTCTAGAAGGGCTGAGGATGGATCCCCTTGATACCCCCTTCCTATTTTATCCACCTATGGGAGACAAATTTCAAATGCTTTTGAGAAATTCTTCACCATGATGCACACATTTCATGCAAAGATTCTTTAAAGGTTTCATTTCAAAATCTTCACTTGTTTGTTCACAAATAGTCACTACCAGTGTACCATTTTCTATACATTTACCCAAGTCATAACAGCAAGTTAGACCTTTGGTCCTATTCTGTCCTTACTTGCTTTTCCACGAAAGCAATAGGTCACTAAAGCAGTAAAGTCTCTTACTTGCTCCCAAATCAGATCTCAAATAGAGTATAAGCATCTTACAGAATAAGCTTTAGGCCTAGCATTTGTGTCACATATAGTAAATATAAAAATATGAATC